TACTTTGCATTTACTAGGGTTGAACTTGAGCAGCCATTTGTTGGACCATTCATTCAATCGGTCTAGGTCATCTTGTAGCCTCCTATCATCATCCTCTGTTTCAATCCTCCTCATAATTTTTGCGTCATCAGCAAACATTGAAAGAAACAAGTCTATACCCTCCGGGAGATCATTTACATATATCAGAACGGACAGTATAAGTCCAGGGACTGAAACCTGCGGGATTCCACTTGTGACGTCTCGCTAATCTGAGACCTCACCCCCTCACAATGACTCGTTCTGTTGGTTAGGTACTCCCTTATCCAATGGAATACCTTCCCTTTCACTCCAGCCTGCATCTCCAGCTTTTTCACTAACCTCTTGTGTGGTACTGTATCAAAGGCTTTCTGGCAGTCCAAAAATGGGCAGTCTGCCCATCCCTCTCTCTCTCTCTTGCCTGATTTTTGTTGCCTGGTCGTCGAGTTCAATTAACCATGTGAGGCAGGACTTGCCATCCCTGAACCCATGTTGATGCTGTGTTACAAAGTTCCTTCGCTCCAGATGTTCCACTAGCTTCCTTCGCACAATCTTCTCCATCAGCTTGTATGGTATGCATGTTAGGGACACTGGCCTGTCGTTCAGTGCCTCCTGTCTATCACCCTTCTTATATATCGGGACTACATTAGCTGCTTTCCAAATTTCTGGCAGTTCCCACTGTTGTCAGTGATTTGTTATACACTATGGAGAGTGGTAGGCACAGTTCTCTTGCTCCTTCCTTTAGTATCCAAGGGGAGATTCCATCTGGGCCTAAAGCCTTTGTCACATCTAACTCTAGTAACAACTTCCTTACTTCCTCACTGGTTATTTCAAACTCTTCCAGTGGTTCCTGGTTAACTATTCTTTCTCTTATCTCTGGAATTTCTCCTTGCTCTAAGGTGAAGACCTCCTGGAATTTCTTATTCAGTTCCTCACACACTTCCTTGTCGTTTGTAGGGAATCCGTCTGCCTCCATCCTTAATTTCTTTACCTGTTCCTTTACTATTGTTTTTCTCGTGATGGGCCTGTGCAGCAATTTAGGTTGAGCCTTTGCCTTGCTCGCGATGTCATTTTCGTATTGTCCTTCTGCCTCTCTTCTCATCCTGACATATTCATTCCTGGCACTCTGGTATCTTTCTCTGCTCTCAAGTGTCCTGTTATTCCTATAGTTTCTCCACGCCCTTTTACTTTGCTGCTTAGCTAGCCTACATCTCTGATTAAACCATGGGTTTCCCATCTTCATTTCGTTGTCTTCCTTTTGGGCTGGGACAAACTTGTTTGCTACTTCCTTGCACTTCTGCGTGATGAAGTCCATCATGTCTTGGGCCGTCTTTCCCCTGAGTTCTGTTTCCCATGTGTGGGTGTGTATGTGTGTGTGTGAATACCCAGTAGTACTTCGGATACTACCGGGTACCCCCAAGTACCACCGGGTACCCCAAGTACCACCGGGTACCCCCCAAGTACCACCGGGTACCCCCCAAGTACCACCGGGTACCCCAAGTACCACCGGGTACCCCAAGTACCACCGGGTACCCCAAGTACCACCGGGTACCCCAAGTTCCACCGGGTACCCCAAGTACCACCGGGTACCCCAAGTACCACCGGGTACCCCAAGTTCCACCGGGTACCCCAAGTACCACCGGGTACCCCAAGTACCACCGGGTACCCCAAGCCTTCATAACCTTTACACACAGAAATCACAATTGCGTGATGCATCAAATAAGCAAATCTACAAGGGCCGTGACAAGGTGCATGGGGAGAGTGGTGTAAAACCCTGGTTTGTGCCTCGGAGAAGCTGCAGGATCCAGTAAGTTTAGTAGAAATTCGGTTTCAACTGCTTTACCATGTAGTAGATCAGTCGATTAAGGCAGCCTCTGGGATGCGCTCGGACGCAGGTTCGTATCCTCGTCACGGCCCTTGTGGATTTCTTCATAACCTTATTTCCTGCCAACATCTGTGTGATTAACACAATATTGTGAGTATTTAGGTTGTCTCTCCCGGTTTGGTGCCTTATTTTTAATAATTATTGACTTACTAAGGTTATCTCTTGGAATTACATTGTAAATACATTTTAGACGCTGCAACTAGTTCGATATTCTTATCAATATTATGGATCTTGTGGTAGGCATAGTCTGGTCACAGCCAGAAGGTCCCGGGTTCAATTCCCACGGCTGGACAGAAGCCGTTCGGTCCCTTCTCCCTTATCTGATGTATCTTTCACGTAACAGATAAGTAACGTACCAAGGAGATAGGCAAAATCTAATATCCTTTCTTGCTCTCGTTATTATTCCTTATTAAGTATTTTAAACCAGTTGATGTCTTCTCCGCTACAGCTTAGTTTCCTTCACCGCCTTGGGTGACCTGATCCTAACAGCCACCAACGAGTTCAACACCAATGAGGAGATGCACGAGGTGAGTATTTTTTATTTTTTATTATATTTGAACATGTGAGGAAGAATACTTGTGTGAGTGTAGGAAGGGACAGATTTTGACCGAGATCCACGGTCAACGGTTCCTGGCGCTTGACTGTAGGCAAAGCTAAGTTCTTCATGAGTGGAACGAGGAATTTCACTTTAGCCAAACTATGCACAGGAATCATCAATAGGATAATAATGTTCACAAGCCTTAATATCATACAAGGAGCCCTCAGGACCGGTCCTGGGAGCCCTCAGGGCCGGTCGTGGGAGCCCTCAGGACCGGTCCTGGGAGCCCTCAGGACCGGTCCTGGGAGCCCTCAGGGCCGGCCGTGGGAGCCCTGTGGCCTTAATAACAGCCTTGTGGTGACAGGTAGTCACTCAGCCCACTGAACCAATAGAACTTAAAAATCGATCCATCTTATGAATTGGAACTCTGATATATAGCCTAGGATCTTGCAAGACAAAAAAACACAACACAGCTTCCTATTCAATATTTCTCCCAAAATGCAGGTGGAATTCCTTCCATTACTCCAACTGGCGTTACCCACAAGATAAATGTAACCATATATTATAAGAGTAGGAAAACCGCCAAGCTGCTAATGAAGAATTATACAACAATACAATACAATTTTATTTAGGTAAGGTACATACATACATACAATATTAACAAGGATTGTTTGACTTATAGGTATAGCTAGTACATACAATGCCTAAAGCCACTATTACGCAAAGCGTTTCGGGCAATTCTCCAAATTGCAAATTCTCCCTACACCAAGAAAAACGCCTTGAAAGAGACCACAATCGACTTGAGAATGGTCCAGGACGGACCGAAACGTCGTCGTCCCTTCAATTTCTAGTGTGTGGTCTGGTCAACAGACCAACGTTGTTTAAGTCTTCACGTGCTCACTTGGGGATTTAGACCCAACGATCTCATTAAGACAAGGCAAGATAACAACGTCTCTCTCTAGGAATTTAACAATGCACAAGCAACACGGCTCCATCAAGGAACACACATAATCGCCACAAACAACGAGACTATCACCAGGGATATTTTGACAAGCAACACCGAAATAATTGATAGATACAATGACTGTTGGGAAGAAAGCTTACTCTCTATTAATTGATTGATATTTAATTAATAGATTAATTTAAATTAATCGAAGGACCACCCTATTTTGACTGAAAAAGGAAACAGATAAAGTTAAATGATAAGGACTGAAATACCAGTGCCTATGGATATGAAACTATTAAAGATTATTCTTTAAACGTTAATGGGCTGTATAATATTAAAGTTCGAGAATAAACTTTCCGTCCTTCACAAAATTTGGGGTTAATACCAGAAGTAATCTACTCCCAGTACGCTTCATCGAGGCTGGTTCTTCCTCGAATAAAAATTAGTAATTCTACTAAATACTATTAAGAAACATTAGATGAATTGATTAATGGTAAAAAGATTACATGTTGATTAATCGAGCAATTATTCTCATTTGACTTTTATGAGGCTAACATATTACGTTAGATATCTCAAATCAAATAAACTAAATCTCTTCGACTGATCTATAATTTTCTCAATTAAGGAAATAATAGAAAGGATTTCAGCTGCTTAGCTGTAATAGTGCAACCCGTTCTCGCACTTTCTTACAGTCAATATTGACTTATTAAATACGTGCATATGTGACATTCTAAACATACTAGTTTACATTGAAAAGCTTCATAGAAAACACCGACCTTGCCTAACCTTCTTAGTATGTTAAGATAAGCATCTTATTGCTTCGTAATTACAATTATTACTTAACCTATACCTATAATAGGTTAAGTAATAATTGTAATTACGAAACAATAAGATGCTTATCTTAACGTACTAAGAAGGTTAGGTAAGGTCGGTGTTTTCTATGAATCTTTTCAAGGTAAACTAGTATGTTAAGTATGTCACATATGAACGTATTTAATAAGTAAATATTGACTATACGAAAGTGCGAGAACGGGTTGAATAGTGAACGGAGAGGTAGAGGTGGAATGGCGTCGTCTGCTACTTGCGGCAACACGAGTTCAAGCATGGCGTGGGAACATGATGACCACGCCAAATTTCAACTGTATATAATCATGGGTTACACCTACTATCTAACATCCTCACTATGCCATAAAAGGAATAAATTTAATTCCTTATGGACGTACTTATTGTTTGGGGAGGTCGCATAGCATAACGATGGACAGTGCACAGTCAAATGATATACCTAGAGATCTCACGATATAACAAATATTAGGCCACTTAACCTGCTGGTTGTCCACCAAAGCAATTCCAGATTGCAACTGGAGCAATTGCACGCTCCTAGGCCGATTAAATACAAGGGCCTAACGTAGTATTTAATGATTATAAAATAGTATAAAGTAGTATAAAACGATTCTTCGCGGCAGGGGATCGTATTCCAGGGACCATAGGATTAAGGACTTGCCCGAAACGCTACGCGTACTAGTGGCTGTACAAGAATGTAACAACTCTTGTATATATCTCAAAAAAAAAAAAAAAAAAATTGATGGAAATCGACTCTCCCGGGACGCATGATGTGATTGTTTACGTCTCCACATGGCTAATGGCGGCGTCTCTCCGCCGTCCCTCAACTCGTCTCTCACATTCACAACAGAAATTACTAATCATGGATAATTCTTTTCCATGTAATTACTGATGTAATGCGTTAATGAGAACCGGGTTGCAATTATAGGGAATTAAATAATATCATTCTCGTTAAACGGTGTTAATCGAGAAATGGAAAGAAATTTTATTTCCTCCATAGCATTCGTACGTAACAGATGAAACTGCTACTTCATAATAATTTCAGTCAATAACTCTCGGTTTTGGATTATTGGGAGCTATATTATCAGTAGTTAATTATTGTACGGAATACTGATAATTTTAGAGAACCACATTCAATTCTCTAACATATTGGTAATAAATATGTTTAAATGTACATTATCTGACGCAATCCTGCCTCTCGATGTCATGAGAATATTAGCAATAGGCTCAGATAAAGAAATATTAATTTATATTAACACTACCATTAGTGAAATTAATAAATACTGTAATTAGTATATAATAATGATGTATTATAATACAATGGTAGTGTGTTAGTGTTGGAAATTTCCAACAATGACAATAGAAGAGTCGACACAGTGAAACGATGTATATCAAGAAATGTAGACCAGCAATCAGTAACCAGCTAATACACAGTTACACTCTACGACCCCTCAAGACCAATTCAAGTTGACCAAGTTCCAGACCCCCAGACCAATGTAGAAGCTGCACCGAATGACCCCTACAACAGGAACAGAAGCAGCCAGAACAACATACAACAAACATACCCACTGTTTTCATACCCATTGATTCGTGTTTTGTCATAGCTTTGTCACCTCACCCAAAACTTTTATGCCATATCACCTCACCCAAAACGAGTATAAGTATGATGTATGTTATGTGTAAACTAGTCTTTGAAAATGTAAGAAGCTTACAAAACGCGTTCAGGCGTCAGACCAAAAATAAAAATGTAAAGAAGGAATTTTGGAGAGTAAATTTTTCAATTACACTCGACAGTGAAGAAAAACGTAAGAAATATTGAGAAGATTCGTGTTGGAATTATTAATCTTACCCTTTCGGTCATATTTAACAAATGTTTACAAGAAAGACTGCTACCACAATATACTAATATATATATATATTATATATATATATATATATATATATATATATATATATATATATATATATATAAATGCATAACGATTCGAATACTTCTCGTATTCATCATCAGATCTAAAAGAAAAAACAGAAATCACAATCAAATAACTGGTAAACAAAGAACTCATTGAATATAATTGTCTATCAAAGAAAGGAAAATGCTTAAAAAACAAAACACTTAAGCGCACTTAAAGTGATCAATACAAATAAAACTTATTAACTGTCACATATATTAAAGCTAATTTAAAAGTCCATTAAACTACAAGATGATTTTTATAACTACTAAAACAAACCATTCCATTAAACTTACGTGAAGTGATCAGAAGTGAAACTTGATACCTAACACATAGATACTAAACACTATAACAAATATTTAATATAATGACTTCAAATCTACAAAAAATGTATGTAAAATACAAACAGAATAAACGACAATTATAAAGTATTAACCAAAATCTTATAAAAAAAAACTCAAATATTAAATAAAATTAAATACCAAAAAATTTATTATATATCCTAAATAAAAGATTATATTAATATACAATGTCAAGACTTGAAATAAGTAAGAAAGGGCAAAGACATGATAAACTAAACAAAATTATAATAAAATTAAACTACCAAAATGAACTATAAATCAAATTACAGGGCCAACTGTGCACTATACAGTGTACAATTGAACCGCTGAAAGGTTGCTATTTAACAGAGGCCGCAGCTCCTTTATATATAAGGATTCCATTACTCTCAAATCTGACTGGCCATTCATACAAGTGTCCAGTCAGATTTGAGAGTAATGGAATCCTTATATATAAAGGAGCTGCGGCCTCTGTTAAATAGCAACCTTTCAGCTGTTCAATTGTACACTGTATAGTGCACAGTAGGCCCTGTAATTTGATTTATAGTTCATTTTGGTAGTTTAATTTTATTATAATTTTGTTTAGTTTACCATGTCTTTGCCCTTTCTTACTTATTTCAAGTCTTGACATTGTATATTAATATAATCTTTTATTTAGGATATATAATACATTTTTTGGTATTTAATTTTATTTAATATTTGAGTTTTTTTTTTATAAGATTTTGGTTAATACTTTATAATTGTCGTTTATTCTGTTTGTATTTTACATACATTTTTTGTAGATTTGTAGTCATTATATTAAATATTTGTTATAGTGTTTAGTATCTATGTGTTAGGTATCAAGTTTCACTTCTGATTACTTCACGTAAGTTTAATGGAATGGTTTGTTTTAGTAGTTATAAAATTCATCTTGTAGTTTAATGGACTTTTAAATTAGTTTTAATATATGTGACAGTTAATAAGTTTTATTTGTATTGATCACTTTAAGTGCGCTTAAGTGTTTTGTTTTTTAAGCATTTTCCTTTCTTTGATAGGCAATTATATTCAGTATGAGTTCTTTGTTTACCAGCTATTTGATTGTGATTTCTGTTTTTTCTTTTAGATCTGATGATGAATACGAGAAGTATTCGAAACGTTATGCATTTTAAAGTAAAGAATCTGAAACAAGATGTTCAGTATATCCCTGGTTTTCCTATTCATCTTAATATATATATATATATATATATATATATATATATATGTCGTACCTAGTAGCCAGAACGCACTTTTATGCCTACTATGCAAGGCCCGATTTGCCTAATATGCCAAGTTTTCCTGAATTAATTGTTTTTCGACAACCTAACCTACCTAACCTAACCTAACTTTTTCGGCTACCTCACCTAACCTAACCTCTAAAGATAGGTTAGGTTAGGTTAGGTTAGGTAGGGTTGGTTAGGTTTGGTCATATATCTACGTTAATTTTAACTCCAATAAAAAAAAATTGACCTCATACATAATGAAATGGGTAGCTTTATCATTTCATAAGAAAAAAATAGAGAAAATATATTAATTCAGGAAAACTTGGCTTATTAGGCAAATCGGGCCTTGCATAGTAGGTATAAAAGTGCGTTCTGGCTACTAGGTACGACATATATATATATATATATATATATATATATATATATATATATATATATATATATATATATATATATATATATATATATATAAAACAAAAAGTTAAGGGCTAACAACTAAACCAAATTTTGGCTTCGAAGTCAAAAGATAATTGCAATAATGTATCTAAATGCAAAATAGAATGTAGAATTTTTTCATATTTTGAACTCGCTTGAAAGAAAAAATATATAAATTAATTTTCGTCTAACTTTTTATAAATTCGATCACAAGAATTTTGATATAAAAAAACCACGGTCATAAAGACGGTCAATTATTAAAAAATATTCTTTATCTGTGCAGTTGGAGTTGTTCAAGGAGGAACACGCTGATGACCTAGATACCGCGGCTCGAGCAATTGATCAAGCAATTGAAAGAACAGCCAACAACATCGCCTGGATGAGCAATAACTATGACGTGATCGTCCAGTGGTTGGATGACCAGGGCTTCTCCTCCCAGCTGGCCCGTCGACCACCACCTCCCTAGACACCCACCTTCTCCTGCCAGCTGGCTCATCGACCACCACCTCCCTAGACACCCACCTTCTCCTCCCAGCTGGCCCGTCGACCACCACCTCCCTAGACACTAACCTTCTCCTGCCAGCTGGCCCGTCGACCACCACCTCCCTAGACACCAACCTTCTCCTCCCAGCTGGCCCGTCGACCACTACCGCCCTAGACACCAACCTTCTCCTGCCAGCTGGCACGTCGACCACCACCTCCCTAGACACCAACCTTCTCCTGCCAGCTGGCCCGTCGACCACCACCTCCCTAGACACCAACCTTCTCCTCCCAGCTGGCCCGTCGACCACCACCTCCCTAGACACCAACCTTCTCCTCCCAGCTGGCCCGTCGACCACCACCTCCCTAGACACCCACCTTCTCCTCCCAGCTGGCCCGTCGACCACCACCTCCCTAGACACTAACCTTCTCCTGCCAGCTGGCCCGTCGACCACCACCTCCCTAGACACCAACCTTCTCCTCCCAGCTGGCCCGTCGACCACTACCGCCCTAGACACCAACCTTCTCCTGCCAGCTGGCACGTCGACCACCACCTCCCTAGACACCAACCTTCTCCTGCCAGCTGGCCCGTCGACCACCACCTCCCTAGACACCAACCTTCTCCTCCCAGCTGGCCCGTCGACCACCACCTCCCTAGACACCAACCTTCTCCTCCCAGCTGGCCCGTCGACCACCACCTCCCTAGACACCAACCTTCTCCTCCCAGCTGGCCCGTCGACCACCACCTCCCTAGTCACCCACCTTCACCAGCCACCTGTTGCTGGGAATGAAAATGTAAAAAAATTAAGACGTTATTATTATCAACCATGGTTAAGTAATTATATTTTCCATGCACGTGTGAACACATTCATACACCAGCAAGTGAATGTCACAACATTAAACCACAGACATAGGAGTAATGGTTGAATATGTATGTATAACTTTTGATCTAGATTTATTCTTCTCAAAACTTTATGTACGAAACATGAGTATAGAACCAATTTAGACGCAGCACATAAATAAAACTGTAACATCTCCAACTGTATTTCAGTAATCCATCATCAAACTTAATGGGTTAGTCGTGCAGCCCATCCTCCACCCCAAACTACTCCTCTATTACTTACTCAACGTAAATTTTAATGTCAGTATTTGACCTTCTAGACAGAAGGCAAACTGACAGGTACCATGTTGTGGCCCCCTAATTGACCACACTATTCAGAGTTGTGATAATTTTTTTTATTTATTTACTTTTACATGCTGGACATGCAAATAAGTACAATAAAACAAAGACAAAAAAATAAAAAGATTGTAATACGTGTTTGTCTCCCCTTGTAGGCATCACCGTCCCGAAGGGCCTACAAGGGGAGACAAACACGTATTACAATCTTTCTCAGTACATACATAAGATAACAACAATATAAGACATAACACACAAAACCCCAACCCACCAATCCATACACAGGAATAGTACCGTACATAACACACCCACCGGCCCCGTAGACCACATACGATGAAGCACCAGCCTCTCCGTATGTGGAGAGGCAGACTAAATATAAAGACAATTAACAACATGAAATCCCCCTCCCTGTCAAGCTTGTTGCTGCCGTGAGGGGGCTTGGTGGGCGGCTGCCGGAGTGTGACGCTCCTTGGGGCGGTCCTCTGTCCTTTTGTATCCTTGTGCTCCTGCTGCTGTCCTCTCTAATTGTGCTGGACAACTTTTCCTTTTCCTTCTGTTTCGTTTTTCTCCCCCCTCTTCTCCTTTCTCATTGTCATTCCCTGCCGACCTTTTGCCTGTTTTGATTCTTTTTTCGGCCTTCTTTTATTTTGACGTCCAGGTTTTTGGGGAGGCATAATCTTGCACCCGTAGAACTGTAGTACTCAACGTCTCGAACGAGGGGACCCTTTTATTGACAATCCTCCTTTCATCACTGAACCCGCTCTCAACGGACTGACGGTTCTTTAGGTGGCGTTTGTGGGGCGTATACTCATGACACACCCCTGGGGGGCCCCGGCATGATCGGCGATAGCTTCTTGTTGGTTTCCTGCCTCTAATTGTTGCTCCATGGTGGGTGTGGGGGCACATTCGTGAATGAAAGTCTTTCCTCATTGTTATGTCAATGTTTCCCTTGTACCTTCTCAGGCACGTGGGGTGGGCGGCCAAGCCCCCGAGTCGGACTGTGTTGGTAGACCAGGCCCTGTAGCCCCCACTGCATTGGGCCCCGACCTTGCTCCTCCTCTGACCCTCCTGACTACTCCCCTGAGCTCCCCTCCCTCCCTCTGAGGTAGGGTCGAGTTCCCAGCCCCCAGTGGTGACCACCTCGTCTCCTGATGTGGCTCCGTCTCTCATTATGACTACTGCGCCTTTTACCCCCCTCTCACTCTGGGGAGTTCTCAACGCCGTCCCTGCCACGGCCGCACTCGCACAATTCCTTCCCATACTAATACTTGCAACGCCTTGTTTGGTTCCACTATGTGCGCACAAATACTTTGATCTCCACCGTCTGGATTCTACTCCTCCTGATGATTTCTTCCTCCATAAACACCTTGTTGATTCAGTAGATGCCTCTGTTACTTTTAACCCCACCAGTTACGGTACACGTGTCATTGCTACTCTTTCTCAGGATGCAGCTACTCGCTTCACCGCTTTGTCCTGCATTAGGGAGACCCCCTTTTCGGGTCTCCAAAAACGCTCGGTTAAATGCCAGTGTTGGCACTGTTCTCCTCCCACACCATGTTGCAGCTGGTGTTAGGGCCCTCAAAGACTGCCATGAGGATATTAAACACTTCCTCGAAGCCCAAGGCCATTCTGTTCTCCAGGTGGACATGTTTACTCGATCCCCTCGTGGTTGTCGCCGTCAGCCCCTTCGAGTTGCAAAAATCACCTATGATAGTAGGGCCCTTCAGCCCTCTATTTATTCTTGCCGGTGCCAGATAGTCCGTTTAGGAGTACATTCCCTCTCCTAGACTTTGCAATAAGTGTTGGAAGTTTGGTCACGGTGTCCTCAAGTGCACAAGTACTGTGTATTTATGCCCCATGTGTGGGGACGATGATCATTCTAAGTCCGAGTGCACTTCTCCCCAGGCTCGCTGCCTCAATTGCGGTGAGCCCCACCCTACCTTATCACGCTCATGTATACACTACAAACTCGAGGAAGCCGTCCTCAGCTAGAAACACCGTGATGGTCTAACTTTTCCTGAAGCGAGACGCCAAGTTCGTCGTCTCACCCCTTTCGCGGGTGTATCCTACCCTCGCGTGTTGCATTCTACCTCTCCTCATTCTTCCCACCTTCCTCAGTCTCACAACCGTTTCCAGGCGTTTGACTCGAACACTCCCTCCACCTCCTCCCTTATTCCTTTGCGTCCTGTCCCGAAAGGTCTCCCTCCTGGTTCTCCATCTGGAGTTTCCCCCCTTCCAACCCAGTCCACAATGTCTCCTATGTCTTCTTTCCCATCTTCCCCCCACTCTTTCTTCCCAACCCTCCCCCCAGTCTTTTGTCCCTCCACGCCGCCTGTCTGTCCAGGCTGATGTCCAGCATCCTCCCAGCAATCTTCATGTTGTTCGCTCCTGTTCCTCTTCTCCAGCTGAGACCATTGAGTTTGCCGCCCAGTACGTTGTTACTGGAACGCCTGTATCTTCGAGTCAGAAACGTAAGCCTGGCTCCTCTCCTTCTTCCTCCTCAGCGGGCAGGAAGGTATCGCTTTCTTCCTCGCCCCCTCCCTCTGACTCTATCACTACGTCCCCTCCAATTTCCGTGGTCGGGCTCCCTATGTCGGAAAATCCGACACCATTTAATATATCATACAGATAATAGCTGTATTACCAACAAGTTACCCATAGAAAACGTAACTTGTAGTGGAATTACCGTCTAAAGAAAACGGGATATCATCACCACATACTATTATAATTCACCAGCTATTCTGCTGGGAATTGTTCTTAAATACATTAGTCTTTGGACTTATATAAAAACATCTTATATAAATTAACTTAATTATCAATATTAAAGTAGAGTAAATGTGACCCTTCTATCACTTTCTGAAATCTGGACAAAGTAGGCCAGGCGTCAGAGAGGAAGGAGGCAGCCATTGTTGTGTCACCTCCGAGACGTGTGGAGCAAATTTGGCTCCTATCATTCTGGACAATGTCGGCCAGTAACGTCAATAGTATGGAGTGTTAAACAGTCATTGTTGTTTATTGAGACCAGAGGCTCACACGGGAGCAAATTCGGCTCCTGTTAAATTTACTTGGACGTAGTGTTATGGAAACCAAAGGTGTACCATTTGTCAACACGCTGTCTACAAATTCAAGTTAAGTGTCTATCCGAAACCCGTTTATCATTCATTTATGGCCATTAATGTCAGGATATAGGGTGACCCGGTTAGATCACGTGGAAGCCTCAAACTAAAGGTAATTAAGCCAGGTCTTCATGTTCCATGTACTGTTTTCTCTGATATACTTGTCATATATAGGTATCTGGCTTCACAGCTAGCGCACTTTTGACAGGTCGGTTCCCACACCCTATCCCAGATATGGAGGTTTCTTTCGCTTCTTTCGCCCCCGATCCCCTCTCGGTTGCTGCCCTTGCTGAGGTGCACTCCCTGATTTCTGCCCCCCCCCCCCTCCTCCAGCTGCCTTTGACTGCCCCTCTCAGTTGTCTCCTCCTCCGGACCCCGTCAGTCCGCCTCTGGTCTGTCCTCCCGCTTCCATCCTTCCATCCTTACTAAGTTAACCCATGCCCCCTAACCCTGATTTTGCTGACCCTGCTCCTGATCCTGACCCTGATCCTGAGATTCTTTAATAAACTGTGTTATTTTTTACCTTTGTCTCTTTATTGTTCTCCATTACTGTCATCAGTGGAATATTCGTGGATTTTATGCCAACTTCCATGAACTTCAACTTCTAATTACACAGTTTTCACCATTTTGTGTTTGTCTCCAGGAACCAATGCTCGGTGCTCGTCTTGGTCACTTTCGTGGTTATTCATC